AAAAACAAACCAAAAAATTATCAAAATGTCTCAGTTATAAAATATCTTTAAAAAAATTCCCATCGTTAAAAGAATAAATAACAAAATATATAAAAAATAACTCGGTTGCATCAAAATTACAAGTAGGAGTTGTAGATAGGGGTTTTTTTTTCTTTTTTTTTTCTTTTTTTTTTTTGGAATATCATTTTTTTTATGGTCAAAAGTTTTCATCTTTAACTTTTTTTTTTTTTGCTTCTTTTATCTTCTTTTCTATGGTGCGGTGTCCAGTTTAAAATAAGTATAAAATCAATAAATAAAAAAGTCAAATAAATAGCAAAACGTTAACATAAGGTGTTGTAAATATAAATTACATACATCTTGCCAAAATTAAATAATTTACAGGATAATTAAACTAACTACTTTTTTTTTTTTTTCCCTCTCTCTCTTTCTTCCAGGAAGTGCAATTTCTCTACTTTTAAATACTAACTGAATTGCAGTCACAATCAATTTGGACTCTATTTACATGTTAAGAACATTGTGTTTTTAACACCTCAAATTATTTATTCTTCTTTATTTTTTTTTTTCCCTTTCTTTTGTATTTTTTGCACTTGGAATGGGTTCTAAAATAAGTGAACTCGTGGAGTCTGATCCTGCAAACACTTAAATAGGGGAGTAACCCCTTCAATGCCAACGGCTCTGCTGAACTCAACAGGGGAACCACCACGGGTCAAGTTGCTCATGAACTTCAAGGCTGCGTCCAGTGGCCGCTGCAGTCACTGGGAATCTTTCCGTTGACTTCTCCAAAATCATGGATTACAACCTAAATATCTGCAGGATTGGGCTTGAAGTGACCCCACAGGCTGGATTTTAGGATGGGTCAAGCAAAACCTTCTCCCAGCCCCACCGCCGGGAGGGAGGATGAAGCTGCACCCCACGCTGGGACCTCTCAGGGAGTTTTTTGCCCCACTTCTGCCTCCAGAGTGTGTGCCACAGGGTGCCAGTGAGCTCTGGAGGGACACGAGGATGGGGGACAGCAAACCCCTGGGGGGACAACCAGCTCCACACGCCATGGAGCAGATGCTGGAGAGCAGCGTCGCAAAGACATTCACCGAGTTGTCCTCTGAGGGCACGGCGGGCTACGTGTACCGAGCTGCTTTCAAAAGGCTTTTTTGGAAGAACACCCAACACCCAAATACTCTTTTTTTATCTCTCCTCCCTTTTTTCTTTTTTTTTGAACTGGGATTTTGCACAAAACGTAGAACCCCAAACCAAAAAAACACCCGTTGCCCTGCGGATACCTGCAAGAAATCACTGACTGATTCGCGGGGGGGGTAAGCACTTTGCTGGCCATCAATTCACATCTCTCTTTTTGTTGGTTTTTGTTTCTTTTTTTTTGTTTTGTTTTGTTTTGTTCCTTTTGTTCCTCTCAATCTCAAACGTTCTCTGGCATTGATGTATGATCTCTGGACTGGCAGTGCTGCGCCACTGTAAGGATGATCACAATAATGAAAAGAACCAGAACGGTCGTCAAAGAGACTTCCAAAAAATCATATACACTGGACCATGACACGTGACAGAATTCTTCTGCATGAAATATCTGGTATTGGCCTATTCATAATAGCTATTCTCGTATTTAAGACAGACAAAGGAATACTGTAGTTGCAAACTCCAAAAGCTTCCCTGAGAACCTTTTTTTTTTTCCATTGCGCTTTCCACTGGAGATCCAGAACTGCTCTTCGGATTTCTTTCAGAAAATAAAAATAAGCTACTTTATAATACTTCAGAGTTCCCATGCCCAGTGGATATCTGAACACCTCGGGGTTGGGAGGCCCAGCACAGGTTCAGATTTACAGGTAGCTTGCAGCTCCAGCACTTGTAGCAACATAGAACATAATTCATGTGTGAGTAGGTGATCTGGACATACGACCATAGACAACATGAGGGTTTAAGCCAGTCATACGCTAGTCTTGGATCAGACAAGACCCTGTTCTTGTAAGGTTTTAACCCTTGGATCCACTCTTCACCAGCTACCAAGCCCCACAGCCTACTGGAGAATTTAACCTTCCATCCTGATCTACCTCATGGTCCAGGTAGAAAAAAATCCCACTTTTCTCAAGAAGGTCCAAAGTTAAGTAAACGAGAACATTGAGTTCGATCAGTTCCACCTCTCAGAAATGGCCTCTTGGTTACGCTTTGGTCCTTTTTTTTTTTTTTTTTTTTTAAATTTTTCCTTTTTTTCATTCATTAAACAAGTTTTGTAACTTGTAAACCTGAATACTTGGAGGGAAAGTTCCATCTTACAGTCTGCCTGCTTGCTCGTCTCCATCCCCTGGCACTAAACTTGGATGCCCTTGACAGCTTGCTTGATGCTCTCCAGCAGGTCCTTGTTCTCTGGGTTCTGGTAGCACTCCTGGTTGGTGTACATGTCGGTCAGCGTGTTCACATATGCATCAAAGTTCTGCTCACTAATTGGCTCCTGTAGCCAAAAAAAAAGCCAAATAAAAGCATTAAAGGGAGAGGCTGAGATGTTTCTTTGCAAGGCTTCCGCATCAGAGCATTTTTGTGTGTGGTGTTGTACGTATGGGAGGCTCATCATGGAACCTCTGATCTTGCCAGATCTTAACTGGGTCCTTAATTTTATGCCCTGGCCTCGTGGAATTATTAACAGCACCAGGTTAAGCGGGTGCAGGAGGTTTGACAGGCTCAAGGCTGAATTAAGCCATGAAAAGGAAGGGCTGGAGGACAAGAGTTCTGCTGAAGCATCAGGAAAAGAACCAAAGGCAAAGTTAGGACAGGAGCCTGGTCACCTTGTGCTCACATCTGCCCACGCCAGCACGCCACTGCAGTACAGCTTGTGCTTGGAAACCTTGCAATTGTCTAACCTGGAGTTTAATGGGGGGAAAAAAGGAAGGGAGAAGGAAGAAATAGAACAGGAATGAAAGGAGCATACAAGTCTCGTGGGCATTGTTTAATTGGAGTTGCCCGAAACCTTGAAAAAATATTTGCTGAACGGTTTGTTTGACCTTTATGTGTCAAATACTTGACAAAAAAAAGCACTCAGCGAGCGCTTTTCTGCCAGTTAGGCAGCTGGGTGAATACTCTCCAAAACGGCTCTGCTGGAGGATGGCTTCTCTCCAACCAGCCTGAATTTAAATACCAACCCTAATGAAAAGGATTCCCAAAAAAAAAAAGAGACATGATAGCAAGAAAAAAAAAAAATTAAAAAAAAAATCAAAAGCTCATTCCTCTGATCATTGTGATGGTCTTTAGGAGTTGTAAGAGGAGTTGTAAGAGGACAGCTTCCCCAAAAACACATGCCCCCCCCCCTCCTCCATACACCTGGTTTTGACAACAGTAATTACATTCCTGGGAACAGAGAGAAGGTAATTAGTAGCCTTTTGTGGTTTTACTATTTTAATGCAGTCTTTTCATTTTGCTGTAACCCTCTGGTAACATGCTGTGGGCTGTTAGACCTTGTTAAATTAAACAAAATACAGTCTCTTTAAGAATGCTATTCTTTGGCTGCCAGCTATTCAAAACCAAATTGAAACTACCTGCATTATTACAGGAGCTGTAAGATCTTTCTGACGTTGAAATCCAATCCCCTCCTGATCTCTGCTTGGGCTGTCTTAGCCTAAAAGGCACCGGGTAGCCTTGATAAAGTTTCCCATTTTGTGAGAATGCTCCCAGATGTAATGGGACAGAACAATAGACACAAAGCAGAAAAGGACAACAAAAGGGAGATAGAACGCAAGCTTCAGAGATAGGCAAAAAGTACTGATCTTATAAAGGACACGGAGGTGTGTGGAGTGAAATTCTGCCCCTCTGTATCATGAGCTGGGTTTGTCATGGCTCTTTTGAGAGCTGTCAAAGTTCCTTACCATGTGCGGAAGGCGGATATTGGCAAGACTTTGGATTAGAGCCTGGCTCAACCCTGAGAGCTCCAGGAACAGGGCTTCGTTTTGCTCCTCTATGATTTTGTTCTCCTCCTCAATGTTCTTCAGGTTCTTCTCCATGGTGGAGATCTGCGGAGCAAGGAGGGTGGGGCAGGGTTACCTGGAGGAATTGGCCATGAGCCCCCAAGTCTCAGGCATGCATCTGAGGACACGAACCTGCGACTGCAGTTTCACCATGGCCGCTTCCATCTCCGAGTTGGACTCGTTCAGCTCGCTGATCTCCTTGTTCAGCTGCTTGATCTCTTCATCGTTCTCCAGAACTGCAGGAGAGAAGGTCACGGGGAGTCAGCAAACACTCATGGGAAAAGCAAAAACCTTGAGTTTTCTGCTGAGCTTTCTGTCGCGTAGACATCAGCGCTCTCCAAGTCCTCACCTTTGCTTTTACCTCCTCTAAATGGGATTCACATCTCACCTAGTTGGTTTTTTTTTAATTTTTTTTTTTTAGTAACATTTTTAGCATCACGGTTCAATGATAATTTATAGGTCAGTATGTAAATGCAAAAGCCAACGACAGCAGAGCGGTTGGAGTCCAGCACCTCCTGCACCCTCCAAGGCTGATTGCCCTGAAAACTCAGGTCGTTCTCTCCAGTCCTGAGTTTGAGAAGATGCCATTTAAAAAAACTAATGCATATCATGATTAGAAAATAGGAGGTTCATAAACGAAAGCCATATTTCTAGCAGAGTGAGGGTATTTATAGGTTCCAAACTCTATAAGGATTCAAGTACAACGCCTGAACCGTGTCCAACACCACAGAAACCTCAGTCACAGCGCTGGAAATGCAAAGTGCCGGCGCTAACAAAACTCCAGATCCAGAAATATCTGCAGGATTAAAAGCCCTGAATAGGTGGAAATCGCTGAATGACTGCGAGGGATTTGTAAAAACGTCAGCGAATATTTCAGAGAATATCTCGATTTCAGCATTAAGTCTTTTTGCCTGGAATTTCACCAGGGAAGCTCAATCTCCAGCGTTTCACCTGCTCCCATCCAGTGTGTCACTCGGGGAGCAGTGCCAGCACCATACCACCCCCAAATCCAAGCAACCGTTGGGGTGTTCATAGCACATCATGTCCTTGCAAATCTGTGGCCAGATTTTAGTTGTCAAAACCTTCCCAGTTTGCAAAGAAAAAGATAAACGGGCTCAATACCCCGAGGCAACCACAAGGCAAAAAGTGTGAACGTCCTTTACCGTCGCTGGTCTTGAACTTGGTGTTGAGAATTTCATCCCCTGAGAGTTTTCCTTTCTTCCCAGCAAAAGTAGCTCTTGGACACCCTGACAAACTGAAAAAAAGAAGTAAAAATGGGTTTCGTAAACTCCTGGTATTTATAGGTGCTTGTGTTCCCAACAAGAGCACGTCCTATTTAGTGGAGTTCCCGCTGCGAGACTGTTCTAAAACCTTTTTATGGTACAGAGGAAATTGCTTTATAAATACTGCCATAAAACTCCCCATTTATAAAGCAAGAGCCATTTTCTCCCAGCAAAGATTAAAACCACATTGTTTCCTAGAAGAAAGGGCATGACAGGTGAGGAAGGTAAAACGAGCCTGTCTTGCTTTAGGCATCAGCCCCTTGGTTTGGGTGCCAAGGTCCTGTTCTGGCTTGCTCATGGAAGGACTTTTGATGATTTTGCCCAAACCACATCTCACCGTTGCAATATTAAAAACAACTAAACATTTTCTTCCACGCAGAAAGCTCCAACCTGGCTGAGGTCAACATCAAAAGCACCAGATATGGGGTCTTGCATGAAGAGGTGAATAATGCTCAAGCAGCACTGACAGGCTAGTCCAGGACAACGTTGTCATGCTCCTGGTGCTTCCAACCCTGGGATTTACCTTCGGTGAGTGAGGAAGCTCCCGTTGGCGTGGCCGGAGCCGTCGCAGCCTGGCGTTGGGCAGGTTGGACCTTCGTTCTTCAAGGACTTCCAGGAAAACGAGGAGCCATTGAGTGACCCTTCCTTCTGCCTGCGGGCTGCCAGAGGGCACCCCGAGGCGCTCCGGTGAGAGGCGTATTTCCCACTGATGTGTCCCAGCCCAACACAGCCAGGAACAGGACACCTGGGCACAGGAAGGACCCACAGTTACAGCACGGGAATGAAGAGGGACATGGAGAGGACAAGAGGAAACAGCCTCAAGTTGCCCCAGGGGAGGTTGAGGTTGGAGCTGAGGAACGATTTCTTCCCTGTAGGTTGCCCAGTGCTGTGCCAGGCTGCCCAGGGCAGTGGTGGAGTCCCCACCCCTGGAGGGGTTTCCAAGCCGTGGAGACGTGGGGTGAGGGACACGGGGCAGTGGGGACCTGGCAGTGCTGGGTTAATATTTAGACTCGATCTTAAGTTCTCTTCCAATCAAAACTATTCCATGATTTTAAGATTCTATAAGGATATTATGGATGAGCAGAACTGAGGAAGCCTGGGAAGCAAGCATTTGCACTTCGGGGATCTCATCTGGAGCTTCAGCACCCTACACTAGCACAGTCAAAGCAATCCAGGAGCACTGTCTGTGGCCACAGGGACACAACCCTTCTCCATGAACCAGCCTTGGGAGCTGGTCAAGCTATGACCTGTACACCAAAAAGCTGCAAACCTGCTTCTGCAAGGAGGGCATCCGAGGGGTTTCTGAGCCCATACCCCATCAGACAGGACAAATAAACCCTGGGGCATCACTCAGCCTGCAGCCACAGCCTCACTTGCCTCCTCCTCCTCCTCCTTCTGGTTCACATCCTGCAGCTACCAACAGATCAACCTGCACTCACGAGGGGATAAATAAGGAATTACCATCAAGGAGGCTTAGAAGCCCTCCCACCCCTGTGCTTCTGCCCCTGTCTGTGGCCAGTTAAGGCAGAGGGGAGCTGCAGGGGGTGCCGAGGAAGCTCTGACACAACTTGAGCTCATCCAAGAGGATGAGAGCCTCCAAAAGGCACCTCTTCCCTCCCCGCTCACAAACTCTGTGTAGTCACTAAATTCAGCCACTCGACAGAGCCCGGTGTGTCTATTAAGGTTTCTGCTGTGGTTGGCATTTATTTAAAGATGCTAGTCAATTATAAATGCAGTTAAAAGTTTATTACTCGAGGGAGGCTGCTCAAAAAAAAAAAAGAGGGGAGGTGGAATTAGGTAGGAAACGGCCAAAATAAACCCCATGCTCTGGCTTTGAAAGCAGTTAGGGACTTGGAGTTTCCCCCGAAAAATATCCACAGAGCTGCTCCTGGAAATCACAAGGCACGTTTCTCCACAAAACCAGTTCCCCTGATTGTTTACATCCCCTACCAAAGGGAGATGACAGCGGAAAGGGGGGGGAGCTGCACACCCAGCCTTTTTCCCAAGGTAATTTGAAAAATGCTGATCTCGATTTTAATCAGCTGCAAATGCAGCACAATTCACTTATAATATCCCTGCCAGCAGGATCCTCAGTAAATTCATAACATCATTGCTTTTATATGATCACGAGCAAATTACTGAATCCTCAGGAGGAAAAGGAGGAGAAGGGGAGGGGGGAAGAGCAAGACAGAGAGAGACAAACCCCAGCATTTAGTATGCAGCCGTTACGGCCCGACTGTTACATATTTTACGCTGTTAATTTAACTTTCATTACATTTTCCTTGTTAAAAAATAAACCAAAGCCTTATTGTGTGAAACAGCTCCTTTGGAAGCTTTTATTTTTTTTTTTATTTTTATTTTAAGTTATTAGTATTTAAGGGAAGCTCCAGCAGCACTCGATCAATTAGGCGGCCGCGGATGCTTCCGTTTTGTGCCAGGGCTGGGCTGAAGGTTGAGGTGATCTGTTCAATCACGTCTGGAGCAAATTACTTGAAGGATGAACAGCAAAAACAACAGGGACTAAATGACTTTCTCCTCGGTGGTGATGTGCAAAACTCGGCTGGGTTCCAAGTGGCACTCGGTGCAGACAGAGGATGGATTTAGAGCCAAAGCTCCTTAAGTCAATCTGGGGCCGGGCACACCTTGCTGCAGGAGGCACAACACGAGCTAGGGGGAGGGCATCAATGTACCTTGTTGATTTGCACATCTTGGAGGAGCTTCTGCTCCTCCTGGGTTGCTGTCTGTGCTGTGGGACCTTGGGCAATGCCTGCCTCAATGCCACAGAGACCCTCACAGCCCACCCGGCCCTATCTGCACCACCATGGTCCTGCTGAGCAGCTCCTGATGGAGCAGCAGAGCCATGACCCACCTACCAAGGTCAGTCCAGGGCTGGACACCATCAGCTTTCTAGGAGTCTGGATGTCCCATATTTCTTGCCATTTTAGCTTCCCAGCATTTGCACCTTCAGAGAGAAGATCCATCTCTAGGAGAGACCCAACCCCTGCTGAGGATGCCAGGAGGGATCATTGGTTCTTCTGGGGATGTCTCAACAAGCTCGTCCCACGTTCCTATACAAGCACCAGCTGTATAGCAGCAGGGGAGCTGGAACTAGATGATTTTTAAGGTCCCTTCCAACCCTGTTTTATGATTCTGTAACAAAACAGCCATAGAAAAGCCCCTTTCCCCTTGCCCTGGGAAGCAGCGAAACCACATTGGGGGACCCACTTGGCACATCCCTGACCGGTCCCTGCCCCAAAAAGCTGAACAAAGCCCTGACTTCCCCAGCTTCACAGGGCATGTGTCCTTGGGGAAAACATGGAGAGGGGCAACCTCCCAAGCAGGGACCTCCAACTGCCGTGCAAGAAGCAAGCGTGCCAGAGCCAGCAGTTGCGTGACAGCCTTTGCTGCTTGTCCTTCCCTTTGCTGTGTTGCTGGTTAATGGCACAGAGTCACAATGCCACCAGCAATGGAGTGTATTTGAGCCAAAAAAAAAAAAGGATTCTCGAGTAGCTTGCTTAATTTTTAATAAACTCCACTAACTCCTGCTAATTATCACACGGCTCATTTAACTGGGAGCCTTTCCTTCCTGTACGCCGAGGAGGAAGAACAGAGCAGATGGCTCAAATATCAGCTTTTTCTGCAGGTCCTTCCCCCTGGCTGGCACATCCCCATCTCCCCCAGCCCCCGTGGGGCTGGTTCTGCTCCCACTCAGCCTCTGCTCCAGGCCAAACCCCAGGGCTGTGGAGGTGTCCACCTCTGCTCTTCTGCAAGGGCAAGAGCTGCCCTAGGGCTAAAACGAGGAGGAAAAGATATATTTGGGGACAGCCTGCTGAGCCAAAGGATGTGTGTCAGCACTTGTGGCCATCTAGAAGCTCTGGGAAGAGGTTGATAAGTTTTTTCATGTTTCTTTTTACCCATCTCCACCTGGGATGAGTGGATGGGCTCTGGAAAAGCTGGGGATGCTCTGGCTCTAACCAAAAACAGGCTCCTGGAGTCAGTGCTGGCCCCAGCCCTGCTCTCAAGGCTTTGATGCCCTGTGGGTGCAGGAAGGGTTGAGAGACAGACCCCAAACCTGGCATCAAGCCCTGGATGCTGAGCCCATGATGCTCAGGCTTGCCAAAAGTCAGGACAAACGGATTTCACAGCACATGAAAGCTCCTGAGGTGCACTGAGGGATGTAAAAATCTCTGTTCTCAGTAGGAATAAACCCCCTGGGATGTTTTGAAACATTCAGCCTGAGGCAACAGAGAAAGGCTTTTTCTGTTCAGTTTGAATATTCAGCCGTGACAAGGACTCTACAAAACTTCTCCTGCTGTGGGTTACCAGCTCCTGACCCAGCTCAGGGCTGGATATTTGCACCATGTTCCTGGGAGTGAAGCGAGCCTGCCAGCACCCCTCACCTACCCCTTGCTGTCCCCCAAACCCGTGACATTTCACCTGACTGTGGGTTTTCAGCCTCCTCTACAACACTGGTGATATTTCCAGGTGTTATATTGACTATAGCTAAGAGGGGAACTGCTGATGCCTACGCCAGCCTACTTATCCTATCTGCAAAAACAGGTAAGAAAATAATCCACCATTACCTCCCCTGCCATCCAGTTTTCCTATCACATTTCAAAACGGCAACACCGTTTTGGGGATCAGGGAAAAATTCCCCCCAGACCAACAAGGGAGCTTGGGCAGCACCAGCTCCAGCATGGGCAGAAGATGCTCTGAGCCTCCTGGGCATGGGGGCACGTGGGATGGATGCTGCTGCCCCACGTAAATCCGTGCAAGGCAAAAGGGGGGGCGAGCGAAAGGGAGTTATCTCCAGACTTACTTCATCAGCTCTGGGTCTTCTTTGTCATCCTTTGTTGGGGTGATCTTGATCCCACTTTTCTTGGCACGAGGGCAGCCTGACAGACTGTGGTTAAAAAGAGAAGAAAGGGCTGTCTCACTGGCAGAATCACTGCATTTGCTATTCCCCCGCTTCAGTCAGCTTTCCCTTGAATTTGGCACAGTGTTTTTTGATCTCTCTCGTTTTGCAGCTTCACATCACGAGGAGAAGTCAGGAGGAAAAAAAAAACATAAAATAAAAAAAAAATTGAGGGAGATGGACAGTAATTAATGGTGTCTAGATAAGAAGATCTCTGCTAACAGCCTGCGACGTTTAATGGAATTGTTGAAACATAAGGCTCAGATCTCTGTTATTAATGCTCTAAAGTGATAATAGAAGTCATAAATAGGTGGCATTACTAACAGGAACATTGCATCAGCTAAAATCTGACCCTTTGTCTTTTATTCTGTTGAAGGAAGCTTCTAATCAGATGCTGGAAACATCAAAAAAAAAGAGAGAGAAGTCAGATTAAAGAGATGAAAATAGGCTCCAGTTGTCAGTAACGTTAATGTTTTATTCAGAACTTTACAACTCTGCCCACTGCAGGGGAAAATAAAAACACAACAACAACAACAACAAAAAAACACCCAGAAGGAGGCTCTAGAGGAAATAATTGAAGGGAGATCTTACCTTCTATGCGATGCATAATTTCCTGTTATGTGACCAGAGCCATCACAACCAGGAGTAGGGCACCTGAGGAGGAAAGGGAGGCTGGGGTTAGCCCAGGGATGAGAGCAGAGGAGGGATGCTCTGCAACAGCTCGTTTCAAAGAGAAACCAGGGCACTGTCAACACACAAGCAAGTTTTTTCCTCCCATCCCTTCTCCCTCTGTAAGAACAAGCTCTGGTTGGTAATAGCCACAGCACCAACGTTGATGGATCTCCTCATGCATGTTGGCATTGGAGAGGGATGTTGATGGGAAGAGAGTAGGATGTTGGCAGCATGGTAGGTGGCTGCTCTCTGGCAGAGGGACATGGGTCCCACCTTCACAAAGGGCACACCTCCTGATAAGGAGCCAAAAAAAGACCTCCAGGATAGTGTCTGTGTTCTTGAGGAAGCCATAAGGAGACAGCAGGTACCATCCAGGGCCATTGGACTGGATGTGAGCATAGACAAGAAACCAGAAAATTAGCCTACAGCTCAGGACAATGGGGCCACCTTGGCCACCACCAAGAAGAAGCCCCACAGAAGGTCTCATCTCAGTTCTGGGTGGCTTGGCAGGGGTTAAACCACTCAGGACAAAGACACCCTGCAGCAGAAGGGTCCTGGGAGTCCAAAACCAGCCAATGCCTCTGATGGGAAGTAATGAGAGAATAGGAGGAAAAACATTAGATTAACTTTGGGTCTCCTTCCCTAAAACCATGGACAGGGGACACGAGGGTCTGCAGAGGGGGACAGCTGCCTGTGGAGCCTCAAGCTGTAGATCACCAGGTCACCACACATGGTGCACCATCAGCTTTTGGTGCCAAATGTGCAGGGGATGCTCAGCCACTCGATTCTGACTGGAGTTGGATGTGCCTTTGCTCTCTTGATCCCCATTCCTGAAGTCGCTGGTGCCTGGTACCCCTGGTTGGTGCCCTGCAGCAGAGCAGAGATTGATGCATCTCCAGGACCCCCCAGGTAACTGATGTGGTGGTCCAAGGGCAGCCCCAGAGGCCAATGCCTTTGGGAAGGGCAACATGCTGGCTCCTGGCCTGGGCAGTGACATAGTTGGGGTCATTGAATAGTCTCCATTGGCCAAAAAAAAATCACCTTATCTAGGGTGGGAGAGCAGGGACACATCCTGGTCCTAGAAGGGTGGCGGGGAGACTAAATCAGGACCAAGGCTCAGACCCAGGAGCACATAAATGCCCCCTAGAGAAGGGACACATCAGCAGGACCTCGATGAAGGTGCCAATTCTCTAACTGATTTAGAAATTCCAGGTTTAGGAGATGATTGTGACATTTCCCTGCTTAAAGTTGAAAGGAAAACTGTTTCTTTGTTGTTCTAGCTGCAGGCTGGGATGAAATTATGGAAACCCTACCACCGAAATCCTCTTGCCTTTCAGGATGTTTAAAGAGAGGAGAGAAGTGATTTGATTTTTATTTTTAATTATCTGGAGACAAATCATACCGACGGAGACCTTTTATTGCATGTTCCAGCCTGGAGCTATTTTTTTTTTATATATCAGGGATATTAACCCTTGAAATAGAATTTATAATAGAAACACTGACACAGCCTTATCTGGAGTAGGGAAGAGCTGGGGCTGCTCTATCTGTAATATCTCCAAATCCTCTTCCCTTCCTCCCTTCTCCGCTCCCATCCTCATCAGGATAAGGGAAAAAAAAAGCCATATTTGGGAAATAGCATCAAAAAACTTCATTTTGGCCAGAAATATTCTGGTTTTTTTCTAGTATTTTGATAAAAACTGCTGACATCAGGTGCCAGAGGGGAGCAGGGGACGTTGCTCAGCGCGATGCTCGGGCTGGGGGATGACTCTGTTTGGTTTTTCTCTGGGTTTCTCAGGAACCCTCATGGTTCCTGAGAGCTTTTAATATCTTTCACACCAATTGCCTGATCAGAGGGCTGTTCTTTAAGGCTGTTGGAGAAACAGCAGTTCAGCAAAGCTCTCTTAAGAGGTTCTTTCACATTGTATCTCATCTATAACACACAACTGAGTGTACTTAGAGCCAATCATGCGAGTCCTTTCCATCCACGGGCATATTCAATTCATATCAACTGATCCAGAGACTTTTTCCACCTTTGTGATGAGGAGAAGGAGGTCAATGAACATTTTTCCTGACAGTCCCAAACCTACACTGCGATTTGGGCCAACAAAAAGGGATTTGGGACTTTTCCAACCACCTTCATGACCAAAAGGACCTTGCACAATGTGGAGTCCTCCTGGAGGTTTTACTCTCAGTAGAAGATAACTACAACTACTCTGCAGTTACAGTTATGGATATCTCAGGGTCTAAATTATCCTGAAATGGGATTCAGCAAAGCAAGGAGCTCAAAGGAGAATCACCCCCAGAGGTAGGCTGGTTCCATGGAAGTGATGCTGGAAAATAATTCACCATTAGCTTTCCCTCAAAGATGCAGGTTGGGTGAGGAGGGTTTGGGTCCCCCCTCAGTGTCTCCACCTATTTTAAATACAATTTCTGTTAAACCTTTCTTCAGGGGAAGCAAGCTAGGAGAGCATTTCAGAACTCTCTTGTGAAGAATAAGCTCCCACTGAATATGAGGAGTTTTGGGAAGACAGCAGCAAAGCTGTGAAGAGGGGGATGATATTTGAATGAAAATGTCAAACCCAAGTTGGAGCAGAAATGGGAACACCAAAATTTGGCTGCCCACGAGCCCTTTGCCATTGGCTCAGGGTCCAGCCTCCTCTTTTCATCCCCTCACACATCCAACTTCCATGGAAATGAGTAGGAACCTCTGTCGCTGCATCCCAAATAGCCCCTAAAATTGAGCATAAATTAGCATCTCAGGTTCTCCAAACGAGTTGGCTTCTTTTCACTGTGCCCTGGTGCTATTTTCCCAGCTGTGACTCTACCCAAAAATAAAGTGTGGGCCTTTATCTGGGCTTTGGATTATTTGAGAGAGACAAAAACATGGAATGAAAAGCATGATGGCACGAACTAGGGAACGAGAGCTTGGGAAGAGATGCCAAATGCAAAATAAGATACATCTACAGTGCCCAAAGGAAATGTGCCAGGGGTCCAGGGCATTTCTGCTCGCTGCTGTCATCCCCCCTCCCCAAAATATTCCTTCCACCGTTGCCTCTTCCCAACGCAGCAGCTGCTGGGCTCTGCTTGAGCTCCTCAGAGGCAGATTTTGATGGGCTCTTTGAAAGGAGAAGGGAGGGGATGGAGAAGCAAAAGCAAAGCAAGAGGGCAGTGGGGGCAGGGAGGGGGAAGAGAGAAAAAAGGGGGGAAAAAAAAAAAGAGAAAAAAGGGGGGGAAAAAAAAAAAAAGGAAAAAAAAAGGAGTTCCAAGTTGAGCGCAAACATACTTGAGGTCAGCAGAGTGGGCAGCCATGAGGTTTCTGAGACTCTTGTCAGCAAGAGGACAACCAGAAAGGCTGAAAGAGAAGAGAGGGAATATCTGGATAAGCAAAAAAAAAAAAAAGAAAAAGAAACAAAGAAAAGGAAAAAAAAGGAAAAAGAAAAGGGGCCAGGGCATGGGGAGGGAGAGGGGCAACAGGAGGTGGGGGAGGAAACAAGGAAACAGAACCAAACTCTCCGTGTGGTCAAAAAACAGAGTAAAAGAAATTTTAAAAAAAGTTGTCTTTAGAGTCCAAAGCATGGAAGAAAAAAGGTGAACCCACCTGCGGTGAGAGGCATAGTTCCCCGTTATGTGTCCACTGCCATCACAGCCTGGGGTTGGGCAACTGGACAACGACAACAAACAAGGAGATGAGTGCTGGAGAGCAACGGATTCACCCGAGAGCCACGGACCTGCAGGGCCAGCTGAGCCCCCCCCGGGGCTGCCTGTGGCCAGACCCCTCTCTCACCAGCTCCTTCCGCTGGACCTTGGCATGTCTTTCTAGGTTTGCATGCAAATAAACCAGCTGTTGCCCTTTCAGCTCCCCTTCCTCCCTTTTTTTGTTCCCAAAAGATCACAAGGATCCTGAAAAAAATATGAAAAAATTGAAGAAAAAAAAAAAAGGCAAGTCATAAAATGGGTTGGGTTGGAAGGGACCTTTAAATGTGACCCAGTCCAGCCCCCTGCAGGGAGCAGGGACATCCCCAACTAGAGCAGGGTGCTCAGAGCCCCGGCCAACCTCCCCTGGGATGGTTCCAGGGATGGGGCAGCAACCACCTCTCTGGGCAGCCTGGGCCAGGGGCTCACCACCATCATCATAAAAAAAAATTCTTCCTTCTCTCTATTCCAAATCTCTCCTATTTTAGTTTAAAAACATCCCCCCTTGTCCTGTCCTAACAGACTCTGCTCTAAAGTCTGTCCCCAGCTTTCTGACAGGCCCCTTGAAGTCCTGAGAGGCCACCAGAAGATCTCCCCAGAGCCTTCTCTTCTCTCCAGGATGAACAAGCCCAACTCTCCCAGCCTGGCCTCATAGCAGAGGGGTTCCAGCCCTCACATCATTTTTTGGCCTCCTTTGACCCCGTTTCAACCCATGTCCTCGGACCTGGGATGGTTTTGCCCAGCAGGTTGAGGCTTCACCTATTCTCTGCTCACCCACGAGTCCTTTTCACACCCACACAAGCACAGTGAGCCCTAGAGCCAGCACCAAAAGAGGCTGTTTGAGCAGCAGTGATGTGTTGCTACGTGGCACCCACTGGTGCAACGAGAAGAGAGAGCTGAGGAGCACCTTCACCACGACTGCCATCAGAGCCTGGAGGTGGCCCAAGAACTACACCCAGGCACAGGTCTGCTCCCGAGTTAACTCCAGCTAATTCATTCCAGTCCTTGGGCTGAACAAGGATGAGAAATGGGGAGAGAGACTCAGAGCTGCCCACGACACCATTTATTTATTCCGGGGCTGCTTCCATTGAGGAAATTTCTCTGCCCTCATAATTAAAGCATGGGAGGACTTCAGCCTACCTCAAAATCATCATTTACATTGCTGCTGGGTTTTAAAAAAGGCCACACGAGCTTTGAGTAGGGCAGCTGGTTGGAAAAACTCCCTCTGCTCATTGAGGGAGGCTGCTGCTGCTGCTCTACCCCCATGGATGTCCTCTGTGCCTCTCTGCTCCCTCAGCCTCCCTCCTGCATCCCAAGTAAGGAGCTGTGTTGTATAAGGTCAGCCAAACCCTGCCTGCTGACTCTTCCCTGTTTAACACGTAGGAAGGTCAGATGCACTGGGAAGAAGCCCAGAAAAGCAGCTCTGCTGGGAGGTCTCCCCATCACAACCTCCAGCCTGATCCCCACGTTCCAGCAGATCAGAGCCAGGTCCAAGCTGCAGCGTTGGGGTCGGTCTCAGAGCATTAACCATCAATTTGGGGATCAAAACATATGAGGTATGGGTCTGTATTTCCCCCCTCCCAATGCCATGAGCACACAGATGGGAGCTGGCTTAGAATAAGATGCAGCATGACACCAATCTTGCTGCACCCCCACTGGTATCATGGTGGTGGGACCCATTGCTCCACATTAAGCAGCCAACGAGTCTTCCCAGTGAAGCACCTTGTGGTTCAACACCCCCATCGAGAAGGTACTGAGGTCCTTCAGGTGCTCTTGGCTCCATAGCATCCCCCAGTGTCCCAAAACAAGGGGGCAGAAGGTTGGGCAGGCTCCATGGCTCTGCCAGAAACACTCCTGCAGGAAAACACCAGTGAAAACAGGCCCTGTAAGGAGGTTTCTACAGTCCCATCCACGAACCCTGAGAGTGCCAAGCTCCCCAGAAAGTTCCCTTCATCACTGCAGAGTTTCAAGGCCATGTGGGAACATATTTTGCCTCAAAGATCAGCAGTTGTATGAGGACAGGGTTTCTCTTTGAGCCTTCATTTGAACTGCTTAGATAAGACCCATCAGTCTCAAGAAAAGGAACTACACTTCTCATTTTAAAATGTAATTGCCAACAAATTTTGCCTCCTACCAGCCTGGCTGTGCTGGGTACCTGTTTTATATGTTGTGGAGGAAGAGATAAGAAGGCAGAACTTACGTGAGCAGCTCTTTCTTGATGTCCTTAGAGAGGAATTTCAGCTTGAAGTTGGTTAAAGTAACTTCCCCTGGATATTTTCGTTCTTCAAAGTTTTCCTCCGACACTTCTTGCTCGTCAGCTTCCGAGGAGGCAAAAGAGTGGGCAGCAGGCTCTGACTGCAAGAAAACAGCCAGGGAAAGGGGTTGTGGTGGTGGTCATTGCTGCTGAGACGTGGTAGAAGAGGATCCCAGGTCCATCCCAGCTAGTGCAGCATCACCAGCTCTTCTGAGCCCTTTGGAAGCACCTCACAGTACCCAAAGCAGAGATCCAATAGTCTGTCATTTCCCCTTTTCATGGGGGAAATATGCCAAACACGCCTGCACAGGCACTTACACCTGGCTCTTCCCAGGTCTTGAAGTGATGAAGATCAGTGCAATCCCCCCAGACTCATCCTCAGCAGCTCCTGCCTCCCTGTGGGCAGAGGGGCAATGGCTGCTGCCAGGGCCAGGACCCTCACCCCAGCCAGGAGGTAATGGTTGGGTTCTCCACCAGCAGGACCAACATTAGTGGCACACACGGCCAGTGGCAGATAAATATTATCCTGGGAACCTTCACCAGGAGCACCACAGGTGCCAATGAGCTGAAAGGATTTACAACGAAGAAAGCACTGAAGACCCAGGACCAAGACAAGTGGTGGGTTCTTCCTTGGCAAGAGCAGCCCAGCAGATCCAAGAGCATCTGCTTCCTGCCTGGTTGTCCATAGCTGATGTCTGGTA